GAAGAGGGTAATGTATTTGATATAATCCATCAATCACAGATCCTGAAACTGGCAGCAGACTGTCCTTGATGGCTCATTTATGTCAGGTGTGTACATACTACAGAATCTTCTGACATGACACCATGCTGATGCTTCCCCTGATATAAACAGAGCATCATGAAATGTGAGCCTGAGGGTCATGACATGAGTCGTGGGAAACAGCAGTGCGGTAAACATTTGTGTGAACACATCCTGGCTCTCCTGTTGGCTGAGAACTGAACTCAGGATTTAGAGTCAAGACCAGGACTTGGGTCTGTGGTGAGCACCTGTGCCTCTAGGACAGCTCAGCCTCATGACTGGCTCTTCCTTGGAAACACAGAAATTAACAGTATTCCACTCCTCTTCTTTAGTGAATTGGTGTTCCCTCCTGTGCTCACAACTTCCACAGTCTTCTGCCTGTGCATTGTTCTTAAATCACAAAATGATATGAATTAAAACACAGCTTTGATATTTGGTTCTCAGGGGACCCCTACTAACAAAGACTTTAGAACCTGAGAACCAAGGTGTGTTGGAAAATATACAACAACCGTGTACGTGGTCAGTCTTAGACATTATCTGATGCTTGCTACAGCCAGTTGAAGCATGGTTCACACTTCACATCCTTCTTAATGGAGTCCAAGATAGGGACATTTCCTATGTTCTTTTTGAGGTGAGCTCTATTGTTAGAATATTCATGTGTTCCCTGAAGGTCAGGGTCATTAGATCAGCTCTTTAGTGCCTTGGTGACACATAGGGAAATTTGGTTGTTAAGAGACCTCGGGTTCAAGCCAAATGGAGGCTGACTGTGACTTCCATGGATCCAAGTGCTTCCCTCAGGACTTTGACCTTGATTGCAGAGTCCTTAAATTACAGCTGGAGAGGGGATGAGGAGAAAGATGCTGCTGTTGTGGGTGCTGTTACTGTCACGCAGAGCCTGGTTACCACCCCAAGTGTGGTCATTGTTAATAAGGGCGAGCCCACACCACTATACTCTCAGAGGACACCCACACTCAGAATATACCTGTAGTCATTTCTATACCTGCCATGGTGATAAAATTTGTTGATAGAAGTAGCTAAGGGGAAAAGGGTTATTTTGTCTCACAGTTCAAGGTACAACAATTCATCATGTTGGGAAAGTCAAGATGGCAGGAGCTTGAAGCAGTTGGTCACATCCAAGACACATTTAGAAAGCAGAAAGTGATGAATTCTGGTGTTTAATTAGTCTTCTCCTTTTATGCCTAGGATCCGAGCTCAAGGAATGGAGATGCCCACTGTTATGGGGCCCGTCAGACCTACACAAACCTAAACAACATAATCTCTTAGTCCTCACAGTCATGATCAAAGACTAAATGTTCCACCACTGTTGTACCTAAGGCCCTGTGTCACAGGTGATTTTTAAATAATAAAGAACTAACCATCACACACCTTCAACCATGCACCTCCTGGAGCTGCACATCTCTGTGTCTATGTCTATTCTGAGATTTGTCTGTACTTGAACAGTGTCCACAATCAGTACCAGACTCTTCATGTCAGTGCTGGGGCTGCACATAGGCACAGAACACATTCACAACGTTCTTTTTTTAAAAAAATATTTTATTTTCTACTGTTTCATTTCACTAAAACGTACAAGTCATATATTATTTGTTTAAATTTACTAACTGTCAAGTACCTTAAAGTAATTGCCCTGCATGACGTGTTGTTGGAGGGTGACTCTGGATGATTTCTAACCTCTGATAGTGACAGGGGGCAGTGAAGCAGGAGTGCGTGGTCAGCTCCATAGTCCAACATAGGATCCTAGATTGAGGAGGAAGGACGTCAGGGTGTGAGAGAGGCACAGGACGAGGCAACGGAGCTGCCGTTCCTGGAATCATCGATTGGCTTTGTCAGGTGGCTCCGATGCGTTTGCCAGCTCCTCAATGGATCTGAGAAATGCTGGGATGAAGAGGAAGAACTCATCAAATTGCATCAACGTTCCTGCCCCAACACTCTGTGAACAATTTCCCTTATTTCTTACTGTTTCCTTTTGGCATTTGACTCCTCATCATGCCATCCTGTTTCACTCTTTAACTTCTATCCTTATCAATCTCCTCTGAGGAAACAAAACCATCTTCAATAAGTTATTTCTATTGCTTTCCATTGTGTGCTTATAATCATATCTTGGTGAGTGATTAGCAGGCTTGTTTATGAGGAACCTGAGATAAGGGGACATAAAAGGACACGGAGGTGAAGGTGAGACCGGATAATGCTTAACGAATTGAAATTTATTTTGTTCACGGTCTGGACATTGGAAGACCAAGAGTGCAGCACTCATATCCTGGGAAGACCTCGTTCATAAGGTGGCCAGGCCCCCCATTGTGAGATAGAACAGTCGTTCTAATTCATGTCTCTTCTTATTCCTATGAAACCACTAGTGCCTTGATTGCTCCCCACTGTATGATCTCTAACCCCTCACTTTCCAAATTCCCTCCTAAAATACCAGTGTGTAAAGCTGTCACTGTTCCCATCACGTGTGCTCTCCAGGATACATAGAAAACATGGCAAAACCATGTGAGTCACATGTGGGTTGAGGCCTCAATGCTACATGCCGTTGATCCTGGCCACTGACTTCCTGGAGTTGTACACAGTCTTTCTCATAGTTCTTCTGCTGACATTCTGTTGAGTCCGGTGTTTACCAGACAATGCAGAATCCTTTGTGACAACTTGGGAAGAAGTGACTTTAGAGAGAGGCCAGAGTTAGAACATCTTTATCAGAAGTCCGTGCTTCTTCCCTTGGTTGGGCATTCCAGGGTAAGGACGGAAGAAACAAGGGTAATGTATTTGATATAATCCATCAATCACAGATCCTGAAACTGGCAGCAGACTGTCCTTGATGGCTCATTTATGTCAGGTGTGTACATACTACAGAAGATTCTGACATGACACCATGCTGATGCTTCCCCTGATATAAACAGAGCATCATGAAATGTGAGCCTGAGGGTCATGACATGAGTCGTGGGAAACAGCAGTGCGGTAAACATTTGTGTGAACACATCCTGGCTCTCCTGTTGGCTGAGAACTGAACTCAGGATTTAGAGTCAAGACCAGGACTTGGGTCTGTGGTGAGCACCTGTGCCTCTAGGACAGCTCAGCCTCATGACTGGCTCTTCCTTGGAAACACAGAAATTAACAGTATTCCACTCCTCTTCTTTAGTGAATTGGTGTTCCCTCCTGTGCTCACAACTTCCACAGTCTTCTGCCTGTGCATTGTTCTTAAATCACAAAATGATATGAATTAAAACACAGCTTTGATATTTGGTTCTCAGAGGACCCCTACTAACAAAGACTTTAGAACCTGAGAACCAAGGTGTGTTGGAAAATATACAACAACCGTGTACGTGGTCAGTCTTAGACATTATTCTGGCTGAACCAGAGTCTGCAGTTATTTAGTTACATACTGGTACATGTGTGACTGCAGAGGTGTTGTGTGCATGATGAGGGAGCCTCAGCTCCCTCTAATTCAGGAGATTTTCCTCTCTGCCTCGATGGACCTGATAAAGTTAGAACAGGACAGATAAGGTGGAATTGCTATGTCATGAGCCCCAGGTCCTGCCTGAACTATTCAGATGGTCAGTCTAATCCAGAATCCATGCAGTCAGTCCCACTCCTGGCGTGCTCTAGAGCTCATAGACCACCAGGATCTCACTGTCTCAACTCTGCAGTAGGTCCCAGGTAGGGCAAGTGCACAACTTCTGAGCAGAGGAAGATAATTTGCCAGTGGGCATGACATTTTGATGGAGCCATCATTATTCTCTGGCTTTGAATATGCACCTGCTCTTCTCAGTGTCCACACAGAGGGTCCCAGAAATGACACTGAGAAGGACCCACTGTCCTTTCCCTGGGTCCTCCAGGAGCCACATGAGCACACTTGAGCTTCAGATCAAAGACCTATGACTCAGATTTCATTACAGGGACCACAGGTTATGTTTGCTGGATGCTGAGGAGGCCGTGTAAATATGAGCTAAAGAAAGAGGCTAGAGGAGAAAAGAGGGATCAGCATGTCAAAAGAAAATTCATTTGACCCATTAAATTCTGTGAGGATTATGGAAAAAGGGAAGATCATCAGGTTTCATGAGTCCCTGTCTTGCCTACTTCATGTCAGTCCAAGTATTTCCAAAACTCTGCTCTAATCATGGAAACCTACTGAGGTTCTGAGTCTAGCAGATCACATTCCGATGTCCTGAGCATTCTTATGAAAAGGTCACAGTTCCTATGTCAATGCTCTGTCTTTAGTGCAAGTCAGAGAATATCCTGTGTTCAATAGTAGCTTTGAGCCTGGATGATGACTCTGTTGGCAAGGAACTGAGTTCATATCTCAAGTACCCCGGTAAAAACCTAGGTGTTGTTTCCCAGTGGTGGTCCAGTTCTTATGGTAGAGACAGCATGATCCTGCAAGTGACTGATCACCCACACAAGCCAGGTGGGTGAGTTCCAGTCTCAGTGAGAGAAATTTTCTCAAAAGTAAGGTGTAAAGTGATAGAGACACCAGATGTCAACCTGTTCACAAAGATTACTTAGATACCCTCCTCCCCCATATTCTCATGATAATAAATACACAAATACCCTTCACAATGGAAAGCAGGACTATAAAAGTACTTGGACAAAGATTCCTACAAATCATGTCCCCAGAGATATTATCTGGGAAATCTGTGCTGTGATGTGGGAAATCTGTGCTGTGATGTGGACATCCAGCTCAGACACAGAGGAGTCCAGTTATTTACTCCTCTCTGCACCTGTTGTGATGTGACCCAGAGCTCTGTGCTCTCAGCGCCCCCTATTGGTCCTGTGCACCCACAAGGAGGTTTGTGTCTGGGCTCGCAACAACCTTCCCTTGCTGTGGGGGGCTGGGCTGGTTTTCAAGAGCAGAGGGAGGCCTTATTTGCATGATGTCTTACTATATAGTAAGGACTCGGGTTGGAACTCTGAAAGAACTTAGAGCTCAGAGCTCACAGACGGCTCATTTGCAGGGACACGGTGTTCTTGGAATTGTCTCTGGAGATGGTGAATTGGCCTTTCACAGAGTCTAGGTAGTATTTACCACTTCCATCATCACTTATTGCTGCCACCCACTCCAGCCCCTTCCCTGGAGCTTGGCGGACCCAGTGCATGTTGTAATAACTGAAGGTGAATCCAGAGGCCGCACAAGAGAGTGTCAGGGATCCCCCAGGCTTCACCAAGCCTCCTCCAGACTCCACCAGCTTCTCCTCACACTGGACACCTGCAAACAGAGAGTCCTCATCAGGAACTTGTCACACCTGCCCACTGTCCCTCTCACCCTTGTCAACTCACACACCCAACATTCCTTCTTTTCCATAAATCACCTTTTAAAAGAGCAACGAGGAAAAGCCAGCTCAGCCCAAACTTCATGGTGAGTCTGTGTTCAGTGTTGATCAGTGAATGG